TAAATCTATAGATTTAACAGAGAGAAGATGGATTAAAGATCTTTCTTGTGGTTTAGTCTATATAGATGTAATTGATATCCATATTAATAACATTTATTCTAAAAGAAATAAAGTATTTCATAAAGGATATCGGGTTGGTACTGAGCCTCTAACTGTATTAAATGATAATATTATTAATAAACCAGTTTTATCTAATTTTACATATGATAACTATTTATTTATTAAAGGACATGAGTTAATTAAAATTTTTAAGAAAAATAATACATCTTTAGTTCCATATGAAAAACCTAATGTGTCTTTAGTTTTATAACTATAAATCAAGTTGAAATGCCTACCCACGCTGACCACGACAATAAAAATTAATTTGAGTTAAATTTTTATTTAAATTATATAGAAAATTATCTGAGAATATGGGATATTAGGTGAAGAGGTATAGTTGAACTACTTCTTCGGTTAATGCTAATAAAAAAAAAATGAATCAAAGAAGATTTTTCCCCCTTCTAAGTATTAAATTACTTGGGAGGGGTTTTTTTTTGACCACCCCTAGTTGGGTCCCATCCGGTGTGTCTCTCTTATAACAGCCCTGTTATATTCTGTCAATAACTCGAGAAAGTAGGTAAAAATTACGAGATCACTGGACGACACAGCTATCGGTTCATTGGTTTGTTCTTCAAGCTCAGAGATTAAAACACGTTTGTACATACGAGCAATAAGAGAAAAAGATTTTTTTCTTTAGAATAGATATAGTATTTAAACACTTCCTGAATTAGATTTACTCTCTTATAGATTTATAATAAAGGCGATTATAGTTCAAAGGTAGAACAATAAATTGTGGATTTATTTATCTAGGTTCGAGTCCTTGTTTTCGCCCAAACGGAAGAAAATCATTTAATTTTTTAGATTTTTAAAATGCAAATAAAATTATCTCTAGTAAAAAACCTAACTATTGATGGGTGGAACCCAAATCCCAAGGGGCCGGGGAATAAAATTGTATATATGAACATTAATCTTATAATAATAATAAAAATTTATCTTGGAATATAATTAGTGAAAAATTTATCTTGGAATATAATTAGTGAAAAATTTTGGATTAGATTTTTCGCTATATTACACATTTAACACTTTGATATGTTCGATTCTCCCCTCACTTACACATCTTATAGTATTCGATAAATATAAGGAATTGAGGGGGGGGTCAGCTAAATGTTCTTTCTTTACCCGGAGGGGAGATATTTAATATATAGGGAAGATATTTGTAATATTTGTATTATGGCTTCTCTTGTGATATCTTAATATTACACGAAATATATATGAGAGTTACTTCTTTTTATTTGCGTATAATAACTATCTTCTAGTCTCTTTTGTTATCCGAAAACCCTCTAATTAGCGGATAAGGGCCCCGCTGTTTGAGTAATTCTGAGTTTGTTTATATAACTCAGATGAAAGCGTATGGTAAAAAATACAAAACTAAATAATAATTTATTATTTATATTAATTTATTTGTATCAGCTTATTAACAATATTAACCATATTTATTATTTTTTTATTCTTTTAAAATAACCCGTGATCCAATTATAGTAATAATTTATTTGCCTAATTATTCGAATTATATTGTAGCTCTCGCCTGTATTGATTCTCCGCAATAGGGCTCGGGAAATATAGATATATTCTCTGCAACGGAGTATTCCTAGATTAATAATCTATAATTGCTAATATCTATTACTATGATCGAGTTTTATATATATTTTTTTTTTAGAGGTTAATTAATCAATGAACAGTTCATTGTTGTACCTTCCTAATATTGTTGAATCCTCAATACTAAATTATACTTAAAACTAAAAACACAATGACACGACTACAACCTTTTTTCCCTACCATTGAATTAACAATGGGTAACTTACATTTAGCAGAAATTCAAAAAATTACTTTCGAGGAATTAAAAGGAAAATCAGGTATTTATGGATTTATTTGTAAAACTACTAATAAATTATATATCGGGTCTTCTATTAATTTATATATCGGGTCTTCTATTAATTTAAATATGCGATTTAATAACCATTTAAAAGGATTAAGATCAAATATAAAACTTCAAAGTGTAATCAATAAATATAATACCCAAGATTTTATATTTGTAGTTTTTGAGTATAGAGAAGCTGGGATCTTGGTCTCTCGAGAGCAATTTTATATAGATTTCCTTTTACCCGAATACAACATTCTTAAAGTTGTAGGTTCTTCACTAGGCTATAAACATACTATAGAATCCTTAGCTAAAATAAGCCTTGCCAAATCTGGTGGAAATAATGCTATGTATGGTAAAACTGGTGAAATGTACCCAATGTTTGGTAAAATTCATTCCGTTGAGAGCTTAGCTAAAATGAGTCTTGCTCTATCTGGTGAAAATCACCCTCGTGGAATGCTTGATAAGTCTCATTCTCTTGAGGTTAAAGCTAAAATTAGTGCAACTAAAGGAACAGCTATTAATGTCTCTGACCTCAACGGTACACTAGTTAATACTTTTAGTTCTGCTAGAAAAGCTGCATTACATTTTGAGGTAGATAATAGTACTATTTTAAAATATGTAAAAAATAAAAATATTTTTAAGGAAAAATGGATTTTATCAGCATCTTTAAAAGATAATAGTAGGGGTTTATAATATACTATAGCTGGGATCCCTATAATTACATTAGATTATAAAAAATAGTCTAACACCACCCTGCAGGCACTATAAAATTACATTTTGATGTTTCTAAACCTACTATTTTGAAATATGCTCGAGATGGCTAAATATTTAAAGAACAATGGACTTTATCAACTTCCTTAATTTCTAAGGAATAATTATAGTAGGGTTATAACATACTATAAGGTCCCAATTATGCTAACGTTAGATCGAATTTCTCGATTTACACTCCCTCACCTGTCGCAAAGATTTGTGAAATAGGAGGGTAAATAAGTTTTAAAAGAATTGTGATATTTTAGGTGTATTAGAAAACCCAGAGGGCACAGCCCTTAGGTAGGGGCCTACCCCCCAATTAGGTACGAAGTCTTTTGTTAGTGCCCTGAGACAAAGTATTTGGTTAGAGTCCAGGGGCGAAGTCTTTGGTAAGGGTCCAGGCCCAAAGACTTTGGTTAGGGAGCTAAGAGTTTTAACTCGAAAGCAGGGAGTCCAGAGGGCGGAGCCCTTTGGGTCAGGCCCCAGGGACAACGCCCTTGGTCGAGGGACAGATAATCCCCCCCTCATAAGGGTGTGTAGAGATTTCAGGGTGGTGAGAACACAAAATAATAAAGGGTTTTATATGTTTTTAAAGGCAATATCAGATTCAACACCTATCCCCCCCCCAATTCCCCCAAATTATGGGATGAAAAATTCTCAATGTTCATGTTTAATACTCTGTAAATTAGCCTTATTATAAATTCCACCCCCGGGTGGGATTTTGCTAATCTATTTTTGGGCTAGCTATTTATCCTATATAGTATTTATTATTAACACAATAAAACCATAGGTATATGCCAGATAGTCCTTTATAGACCTTGTAAATTAGATTTCTCACTATTTAAATAATTACCTGTTGTGAGACTCGAACTCACACGCTATAAAAGCAATTGATTTTAATTCAACATCGTATACCTAATTTCGACAAACAGGTTAATTATAAAAAAAAAAAGAGAAGAGGATCTCAAGTTTATTACTCTCAAGTGTATTCGTCGAGTAAAATATATTAAAAATTAGAAGTTATATAATTAGACAAATAAATTTGGGACCACCCTTAAAGTAGAGTACCAAATTCTCTAAACATTATTCAATATAATAGTTCTGTAAGTAAAAAAGTTTTTGTATACCCTATACTACCCCGTCAAATCAGCCCCCCCCCGCAAGCAAAAAAATTGGGGACCCCAACAGGCGGGGGCCCAGAGCATGCCTTTGTATTCTATTCAGAAGCAGCGAAACATTTTTGTTGTGAGTACTTCTTATAAAAAAGTTTCTTTGTGGGCATACTAATAAAGATGTTACTATTAGGAATAATAACTCTAGTAATGACGATACCATTAGCTTCTCATCATCTATCAACAATCTTAATCCACAGAATTGCTCTTTTGATTACCTTATACAGAAGTTTATTAGCATATATAATATTATATGTTATACCTTTATCTTATGGTATAGGTGTATTAGGAGGGTTATTCCAAATAACTTTTTTATTCCAAAGTATAGAGATATCCCCTTTATTTTCTCAACCTCTCCCCCCGCAAGCTTGCGGGATGTTGTTAACATTCTTTGTACCTATAATGATTTATTTTGATGCACATGAGGATAAATCAAAGATTTTATCAGACCTCAAAGGTAAAGCAGGAATTTACATGTGGACCCATAATATATTTGGTAAAAGATATGTAGGTTCTGCGTTTGATCTATCTAAACGATTATCTTCATATTTTTATCTTTCATGGTTAAAACAAGCAGATAACTATATTTCTAGAGCATTAATCCTTCATAATCATTCAGCATTTAATTTATCTATCTTAGAGTTTATTGATATCTCTAATTCTTCGGAAGCACGTTTATTGATTCTTGAAAGAGAGCAGTTTTATCTGGATCTTATCTTTTCGCTTGAGGAGCCTAACACTTATAATTTACTTAAGGTAGCTGGTTCTTCACTAGGTATAACTTTCTCGACTGAGACTAAAGCTTTAATGAGTGAAGTTAAAAAAGGAGAAAATCACCCAATGTTTGGTAAAACACATTCAGCTGAAACCAAGATAAAAATGAGTGCTGCTCTAGGAATAAAAGTTGAGATTACTGATCTTGATACTAATCTAACGACGAATTATAACTCAATTAGATTAGCTGCTAAAGCTATTAATTCAGATCTAAATATTATCCTTCGACGTGAGAGATCTCAATCACTAAAGGAGGTAAAAACACCTTACAGAGGTAGATATCTGATAGTAATAAAAAGATCTTAAGTCTATTTATAACTAGTTATCTTTACGTTGTTTAGGTAAAAAAGAAGAGTAGTAATGTATATAGTAATATTGTATTTATCTAAACATTACGAGGGATGGTGGAGGGTCACTACTTTTTTATCAAGATACTTATAGGTTATTCGCTTGATTATTCGCTTTTTGCTTTAATGATGGCGTTCTTGTTACTCATAATAATTGTAACAACAACAAAATCCCCCCCCCCCTCGGGCCCCTTATTTTCCCATCTCCTTAATCTTTTCTTATTATCTATCTTTAATAAATTTTGTCTCTGATTTATCAGAATTTTTTATATCTTTGGCTTTTGTTTGTCCAGAATCTTCTATTGATCCTATTACTTATAATTTTATTGATCCAACAGTTATTTTTAACTATTAAAACTATATCTTCCGCTTGCGAATGGTATAAAGTATATCAATTAAGTCATGTATAGTTAAGAATTATATATACCTTATGTTAACGATTTTTGTATAATTTTATTTTGGTATAATTTTATCTTGCTATAAATATCTAAATTAATAACGATAAAACCTTTTTAAATTTTTAATAACAAATACCACCCCCTTATATAAAGAATTTTTAATTTTTCTTGGATCTTCTGGCCTCATATAAAAAGTAAGACTATCTTAATATACCCCCACAGATTATATTTATCTCATGGGCCATTCTTTAGTTTTATATACAAAAGAATATTATTTCTAAATAAATTATAGAATAATATAATTTCTAAATAAATTATAAAAGAATACAATCCCTAAATTATAATGTAAAAGGAGGGGATAACCCTATGTTTAGGGAGGGGGAACCCTTTTTTTTTTTTAGGTAAACGACATTCTTCTGAGTCTTTGGGAAAAATGAGGTTAGCTAAAAGAAAAAAAAGTTTTTGTCTA